TGTGTGTTGGGGGGGTATCCATGTACTGCCATCATGAATGGTTCCCTCATCAACACCTGGTCCCCCACTTTAAGATTCAGGTCCCCACATACTCTCCATTTAATGAGAACCCCAAAATACATGCACACATGTGCGAAGTTTGTGTCCAAGTTCTGACTTCAGTTTTTCATGCATCAACACGTAAACTGGTGCACCTGTAATAAATGTTTTCCCTTTTTGCGATAATATAGGTATTCATCTGCAGAGACACGAACGCAGTCTTCATACATGTTGGATGTCCCTGGTATCATTGAGGGAAATGCAGGTTGAACCAGGACTGATCCACAGAATGGTGAGAACTGCTACATTAAAGTACTCGTAAAAACATTATCTAAAAACCTGCAAGTGACAGGAAGTGAGATTTACTTGTATGTGTACTTGTAACCGCTACAACTTATTGAAAGACATTTGCAAAAATTTTTTCAAACTAGTTTTGGAAGAACAGTGCAATTTTTTCAGCACTCATAAGATCCTGATATTTTTAATTGATCCCCATTATTTGCTTTGTGTGTAAAGGTATCTTTCATGCTGCTGCACAAGTGAAATCTGTTCTACATGATGTTAGTTTCAAGGATGGGAATGTAATGTAACTGCGGTTACATGTACATGCACCGCTACTCAATATGAAGGAAGATGTTGGGCAACCAATTGCAAAGAAAATGACAAGGTATTTAGTACTGCAAAGGCCTGCTATTGGTATTGTATTCTAATTAAGGCAGTCATGAGCAAAGAGTGGGGGGGGCCCATGCATGTAATAATGCAAATCGCTTAATGATCAACATCCTACATTCCTACTCCTATGTAGCTAAGTGATATCAAAAGTGCTGAAACTTCGGACACCTTTTTTCCAGACATCAACACACGAACTGATGCATAATGAATATATTTTCCTTTTTTAGATGACACAGAATAATGTTCACCAGCACGTACATGGGGGAAATCTGTGGTGTCCCAGGTGTCTTCAGTGGAAATGCAATTTGTACTAAGATTGTTCTACAGAAGGACTTCATCAAAATACCAAGATGATCTGAAAAACTGCATAAAATAGGACATGAGAAGTACATGTATATGTGTAAATGGCTTGACACGTTTTTTCAAGAGTACCGCAGAAATTATGAATTATCCGAATTATGCGATGATTTCAGCATTCACAAGAGCCATATATTTTGTGTTCCCATGTCTTCTTAAGTATGTCTGGAAATCTTCAAGGCCAAAACACACTTCACCGATTTTATGTTAAAATATTAAAATCTCCGAAAGTACATGCAAATGCAGTTTTTCCCTTCATGTGTCATAAATAAAGAGTAGGACACTTGAGCATTCAACTCTGATAATTCTTCAACCTCTAGACCAGGCTCCATGTTCCATGTTCAATATATTGAATATATTTTTCAACAAACACTTAAATTCCACATTCAGACTCTGTGCACTTGTAGATTTGTCCATTTCAAATTCAGTAGGCAATAAGGAGTTGTACTTTTGAAGGAATTGTGTGAAACTGATGTATTATTTTTCTTCCGATCTTTGAATTCGCCATTTCTTAGTTTGTGTATACCAATAGCCCTAACAGTCCCCACTCCTCTGATTTTAAGATATTACATGCATCGTAGACCGTCAGGGTTGATCAAATGCAAACACAACTGAAGCAGACCTTTTTGGGCAATCAAGCCCTTATGAGAGAACTGAACTGCACCCTCACGTGGTGAATTTCAGCATTTTCTATTATGTACTACCTAATTGATATTTTCTGCACGTTCCACTGGGATGAAGCAACAGTTACAAACACCGGTAGTCTATTAATTAAACAAGCTTAAGGTACATAAATTAAATTCAGTGCGTGTATTTGAAATAACTAATCATTACATCGTTCGTTGCCCATTATGCTTTTTAGTCGGCAAGGGAAACATTGTGTTATCTGTGATCCAAATCAAGGTCACTTTATTTCAAACATATTGAAGAGATGTTGAAATTTGGTCTCGCGTACAAACCAAACTGAAAGTCTAATAAAAAGTTCCTGCAGGCTTTTGTAAGTTAAATTTGTATGTGTATTACCAAGAGTGTTGTGCACCCTCACTTCATGGAATTCAACATTGGTTATTAAATGTGGCAATCATTAAGGCAGCTACGAAGGGAAATTAATTGATGTAGACAAAAATAACATTATGTCATTAAACGTGCACTCTCCGAAGCGCTATATCTCCTGAATAGTTCATGTCCCAACGGATTGGAACTTTGCAGATATTCTATAGGATATAGAAAAACTCTGTGGCAAAGAGATATGATGCGAAGCATTATGTCATGATGACTGTCCTGTGATTCATTTCGTACGCACATTCCACGGGTCATTTTTGTCACTCAGCAGAGATGTATTTTCATCAAAGCTACACCATAGGAAGACCTAAGAGCAATGTTTACTCTGTTTCACTGACGTCGCAATGACGTATCTTTTGAATCATTTGTTTGAAATTTTAAATATTTATTTTTCACATTGTATACTTTCAGGAGAAAGTTTTGGTCAAAATGGCAAGCTTGGGTCATAGTCACAGTTACACTACAGAAGCACTTAGTAGGGATGAGATGGTCTTCAAAGATGACGTCATCAGGTGTGAAACTACAATCCGTTATTTAAGGTTATTTTTAATCATTCAAAATACATATAAAATCAACCCAACTTCCCATGATATGATGTTTGCCCTAATGTGGGATTAAAATTGAAATATTCATTTCATCCTGTGTACGTTTAGTCATATGACCCTTGCTTCGGGTTGAAACCAAAAGTTGCTTATCATTCGAAATTGGTGATAGATATTAACTTGCTTTCAAAGATGTTAGTGTCTGGCAAGAGAGTATGCTTCAAAACATCACACCATCCCTGCAATCTCTTTTCTTGCTCTTTGCCTACAGTGATAGAGTTAATTCAGACTATTTGTTTAATGTTTAGCAACTTTGTGTCGTAACTATTATCTCGCAAAGTGTTACAGTGAAGATATTCCAATATTTTTGAGTCAAAATAAAAGCAGAAAACCCTCTGCATGTTGCAAACAGAAAGCTCTCGTTCTTTCATTCAAAAAAGGCATTCTTTTTGTTCTGATTTTTTTCTTTTTCTTCTTCTTCCTGTTCTTCTCCCCAAAAGGCCACTTAATTTGTGCACGTTTTTTCTGGCCACCACTTTAGTGCCTAAACAACTTCCGAATGTCATTAAACTTACACCAATGAAGGACCCTTATGCATAGATGTGCATAGAAGCATGACGTCATGATGACGTCATCAAGTGATTTTTTATTGATTTTTCAATATTTTTTTCTGCCCATTCACTTTGTACACGTTTTTGAGGCACAGTTTTGGTCACTTAGCAATCTTCAATCATTATCAAACTTACACCCAATGACGACCCACATGCAAAGTATTTTCCAAATTGATGACGTCATCATATGATTTGTTATGCTTTTTTAAATCTTTAATTTTCCCTATAGACTTTGTACATAGATTTCAAATTGCAATATCTTCAGCTAGCAGACTTGAATTGGTCTAAAAGTTGCACCAAGCACAGATGATCAGGCAAATAATCTACCACAGTAGTGACTTCTTGATGAAGTCATCATATAAATTATTTTGAAATTTTCAATCTTCATTTTTTCCCCTGGCTTTTTGTGCACAGATTTGAAACGGCTACATTAACTAAACTAGGTGTCCGATCGGGTTGAAACCTTGCATGTATCCACAAAGGGATGTGTTTGAGATGAAAACTGGCATGATGTGTTGACAATGTCATCACGCGACAGGCACGTGACATTGAAGGGGTGCTCTTTAAGCATTATATTTCCGAAACAGAGTCCTAATTGCTTTGAAACCTTGCGTGTATCTTGAAAGGGACGTGTAATAGATGAAAAGTGACATTATGTAATGATGCCGTAACCACATGACCATGCAATCATGTGACATTAAAGGGGTATTCATTAACAAGTGTTCATTCTAAACTACATATATGTAATTGGGTTAATTGAAAGCTCTCATTTACACGTTTTTAAAAAAGTGTTACAGATTTAAACCAACATGATGTGCCGATGATGTCATCATTTGACTGGTCAATTGGCCACCAGGTCCCTCATCNGTTACCACACTTTTATTCCCTTATTATTAAAATCACTATATCTTCTAAACTACATGCCAGATTCGGCTGAAACCTTTTATCTATTGTATCTGTAAATGCAAATATTTTAGTCAAAACTCGCACGATTTGCAGATGACATCATCATATGATCAGTCACATGAACATCATCACTATATCACATAAACCAAAGTTACACTGATACAACATTCTCTGTTGAACATTCGTTTTAAATTATATTCGCCGTCTAATTTTTAGCCTATACTTTTCCAGTATACACAAATTGTTCAAAATTGCAAAACAATGCAAAAAAGCCCTCTATATTGGCAAACAGACAGATAAACTCTCCTTTTTCTTCTTCTTTTCCAAATCCCTTTTGTTTTGTACATGTTTCTTCCACCACCCTCTTTAGTCCCTTAGCAACTTTGGATCTTCATCAAAACTTACATCATTGAAGAAGCCTTGTCTAAAGATGTGCATTGAACAATGACGTCATGATGACATCATCAAGTGATTTACTGTTGATTTTTTTCTATTTATTTCAGCCCATTGACTTTGTACACGTTTCATTGACACTCTTTTGGTAAATTGGCGATCTTCAATTGTAATCAAAGTTACAGCCAACAAAAACCCTGATGCAAAGATACGTCCAAATTTATGATGTCATGATGACGTCATCAAGTGATTTATTATTGATTTTTCAATATTTATTTCAGCCCATTGACTTTGTACACGTTTTCGAGGCACTATTTTCATACTTTAATAATCGTTGATTTTTGTCAAACTTACAGCAACCACTAACTATAAAAGGAAGATAATTCTGAAATATTTACACCATGATGACTCCATCAGGTGATTTATTATTAAATGTTGAATATTTCAGTATTCCGTTAAATATAAAATATAAAATCAACTGTGACCTCCCGCAACATTCTGTTTGCAGCAAGTGCCAGGATAAAATGTGATCTTGAATTTGTCTTGTTTAGGTTTAATAACGTTACCTTTCCTTCCTGTTGAAACCGGAAGTAGCCTTATTCTTTGAAACTGGTAAAAGCCATTAAGTTCTTTTCAACGGAATTAGTCTGTTGGTGTTAGTGTTGGATTGATACCCTGCATATATCTTGGAGAGGAAGTGTTTTAGACAAATAATGAGCTCATTTAGTGATAACGTCATCAACAGTTGCTTTTATTCATAACGGATATTATCAACATTATGGAAATGTCAAATGTTATTAATTTTGCCTGGATTCTACTTTTTGATTGATTAAAAAATGTTCAGGATAGTGCAACAGATGTCATTTATAGTGGTCCTGCAATCTTTTTCCTTAAATTTTGTACACAGAAAATGTGAAATGTGCAATCAAATACTGTTATGTTAGATATTATCTCCTGATGTACATGACCAGTCGGGTTCAAATCTTGCAGATATCTTGAGAAGGGGGATGCTTAGAGGAATATTGACCTCATGTGATGATGACGTCATCAAGAGACAAGTCATGTGACTTTAAAGGTGCACTCTTTAAGGCCCTACAACTCCTGAACTACATGTTCTTTCAGGTTGAACCTTTGCAGATAACCTGAAAGAGAAGTGTTATATATGAATAACGAATTGATGTGATGATGACGTCATCAGAAGTCAAGTCACGTGGCATTAAAGGTGCACTCTTCAAAGCTCTATATCTCGTGAAGTACATATTCGATTGGGTTCAAACCTTGCAGATCTCTTGAAAAGGAAGAGTTTTAGACAAACATTTACCCGATGTGGTAAGGACTTCATTGTGTGACTGGTCACGTCACATTAAAAGTACATTCTTTACAAGCCTGTATCTTGTGAACTACATGTCTGATTGGGCTGAAATTTGGTAGAGTTGGCAAGTGTTATAGACAAGGTGACATCATGTAAAGGGTGCAAACTTTAATTCTTTATATCTCCTAATGTCCAAAAGGGCGATATTCAAATGTGGTAGTATCTCAAATGAAGAAATGCCCTTGTCTTAAGAAAAAAAAAAGAAAATGCGAAAAAGCCCATTGCTCTGTCCTTGAGACAGACAAAACCTCTATTTTTTTTGTTCTTCATCCTTTTTCTTCTTCTGCTCAAAAGCCCATTTGTTTTGTACATGTTTTTTCTACCGGTGACTTTAGTGCTTTTGCGACTTTGGATTATCATCAAACTTATACCAATGGTGAACCCTTATGCATAGATGTTCCCAGAAACATGACGTCATGATGATGACATGAAGTGATTTATCATCGATTTTTACATATTCATTTTAGCCCCTTGACTTTGTACACGTTTTTGAGGCACTATTTTCATACCTTATTAATTGTTGATCATCGTCAAACTTGCAGCAAGTACTAACTATAAAACAAATATAATTCTGAATTATTTATGTAAAAATGACGTCATCATGTCAGATGCGGGTAGGATGACTGAGGCTGGTCAATACTAAAATCTGTAAAACAGAGGGCAGAAAGGGACACCTTGAATGCCTGTGTTGTTCACTTGCAAGGTTCTGCCACAAGTGATTTTAATGAATAAAATCAATCATGTGGCTATATAGCTAATAACAAAAGAAAGTTACTTTAAACTTTACATACAGGTATATTGAATAACTAAATATTCAAGGCTTGGTCCTTTTACTTGGGTTGACGAAAACACGTGGGAATCCTACAGTGCATGTGCACTGTAACAACTTAAGAATTCCACCAGCCAAGGCCTTGATTCCACTAAGAAATCATTCCTAGCCTGGCACTTGCCTTTACAACAACCAAGCAGGGAGTCTGTGCATAACAAGCCAAAACATGAGTGTATTCCAGGCTAGCATGGACAATGCCTTTCCTTGAGCAGCAGCTAAGAAACAACCCTTTGTCTATTCCTGGGAAAACCACACAGTGGCTAAACCACAAACTATGCGTCTTGTCTTACCATTCCTCCATGGTCTTAAGTTACACTGTGCCTGTGTGGTATGACGTCATCAGGAGACAAGTCACATGACATTAAAGGTGCACTCTTTAAGGCCCCATATCTCCTGAAGTACATGTCCGATTGGGTTCAAATCTTGCAGATATCTTGAAAAGGGAGTGCTTTAGAGGTAAATTGACCTTATGTGATGATGACGTCATCAGGAGACAAGTCACATGACATTAAAGGTGCACTCTTTAAAGCCTAATATCTCCTGAAGTACATGTTCTATCAGGTTGAAAATTTGCAGATAACTTGAAAGAGGGGTGTTATATACGCAAACTGACTTGATGTGATGATGCCGTAGTTGTTCAAATGTAAAAAAGAATGCGAAAAAGCCGTCTGTTTTGTTGGCAAACAGACAGATAAGCTCTAGTTGGCTTTTTTGCAAATTTGCAAAAAAGACATTCTTTTTGTTCTGATTTTTGGGCTTTTTCGCAACTTTCAATATTTTTCAATATTTTGTTCTGCCCATTTACTTTGTACATGTTTTTGAGGCACAGTTTTCGTCACATAGCAATCTTCAATCATTATCAAACTTACACCCAATGACGACCCACATGCAAAATATTGTCTAACTTGATGACATCATCATATGATTTGTTATGCATTTTTAAATCTTTAATTTTCCCCATAGACTTTGTACATAGATTTCAAGTTGCAATATCTTCAGCTAGCAGACTTGAATTGGTCTAAAAGTTACACCAAGCACGGATAATCAGGCAAATATTCTACCACAGTAGTGACGTCATGATTAAGTCATCGTGTAAATTATTTTGAAATTTTCAGTCTTTACTTTTTCCAATAGCTTTTTGTACACAGATTTGAAACAGCTACATTAACTGAACTACGTGTCCAATCGGGTTGAAACCTTGCATGTATGAGATGAAAACTGGCATGATTTGTTGACAATGTCATCACGTGGTAAACAGGCACGTGACATTGAAGGGGCGCTCTTTAAAGCATTATATTTTCTAA